TGGCTTGACGCTTAAATATGAATATTTATTTAAAAATAAAATAGCAGCATAGCAGTCATTAGAATTTATTCAAAGTGAAAGTAACAACAAGCAGTCACCAACTCAATAGTCCAAACAACTATAATAATTACCTATAATTTAATAATATTATTAATAACTACACAATGATAGGATAAACATTAGCTATTTTTTAAGGCTATTTCGGTCAAACAAAAGTTTTTTAATTTTGTTGACATTTAGAAGTAGTATAGATATAGATAGATAGATGTTGTGTATTAGGCTAGTTGAGTAGCAATTTGCATTTCCTTGGCTCTGTGACATAAGGATACTTTATTAATAGGTTGGTGTTTGTGATCATGTGGAGCTTTCTTCTTTATTATTGCTACACTTTGACCAGCATTTGTTTTTTGTGTCTCTCTTAGGCAATAGAGGAATGAAGTTTTTGAAACTAAAGACTTCAATGTAAAGCTCATTACTTGGTACAGGTGAATTGACTTGCAAATATGATTGATTGTGTTGAATATATGTGTTTGCATAGGTCAGTCTAATATTTTCAATTTATAGGCTATTAAGGGAGGATGAGATAATACTATGTACACCGGTGGTTGTCTCATATAATGAGAAGAAAAGAGAAATTTGTTCCTTGGCGACATAAGGGAACTATTAGTTCTAATATTTTGGCTTCTCTTTGATTTTTTTTTATTGTATTAGGATTTGTTTTTTTTTAAGCAACCTTTAGGTTTCAATTAGAAAGTATGTAAATTGTGTATACAGGATGACATTTTCATAGGTTTTATTATAGGAAATTTTGCAATTTTTTTTTTAATTTATTGCAACGGGCTTAAATGAATTATGTGTGTCACTTTTCTCTAATAATGCTATTTTATTTCTTAAAATTAACAACTTTTTTTGTTACACCGTGACTTTAGGCATGAGCATTAACTAGTACTACTCTAATATAAAATGTCAACAAAAGTAAAAAAAATTTAATTGATTATTATGTCCCTATAAAAATAGTTAAAATCAACTATATCCTTATGTATCCAATATTTATTTATTAAATCTCTTCCTCTTACTTGGTGCTCTTTTCTTTGGCTTCACGACTTGTTGACCACATTATAGAATTGTTTTACTTATTAATTTTATTTTCATGTTTTTCTCCTTTTGGCATATATAGGTGAGATATTTTAACTTTAGGTCACATAATTTGTTGCATGGTGACTACTAGACTTACAGGTTTGGCAGAGCAGTTATATTTTCTCAAGATTATTTTGGTTTCATCAAGAATCAAATCCTAATGCCCTTGATAAACAAAACATTTTATGCTTTATATGGTGATGGCAACAAAGGAGTATCATTGTGTTGTAAGAAAATGTATTTCAAGAACATGCAAGTTGCACCACCAGAAGAGGAATTCTAGAAAAAATATATTAGAGAGGGATAGAAGCCCTCAATTGAAATTTTCAGCAACAATTGTCTTATGCTTTCTTTAGCTTATTTTTCATTGCAGAGTTTCAACTCTTCTATTTGGCTCTTCCATTACTAAAATTAGACGTGTGTGTTTGGACATCATTCTTTTAACTTACAGAGTATTGATTGCTATAATCATGATTTATACGCAATGATAACTGCATGGGAGATTTTCTGCAATAGATTGAGATAGCGATCCACTCGATGATAAACCTGAAACAACCACAAGGTCAAAAAAAAGGGTCGAGTGAGCATCTGGCTTATTCCCTTCGAAGCCTAAATCAGTATCGGTTTGGAGGCTTGAGTATAGTGTATTAATTCTCTCAGTTTAGTCTTACGTACCTTTGTTCATCTTTCTGAAAAGTATTTATACCTGGATTAACAATGAGTGTCAAAGCATTGAGGTCTCATCTCAACATTTAATGTCTCACACTCTTACTCATGCGTAATGAGTGTTTTCTACTTAGATCTTTGCGCCTAGCTTACTCAGGCTATAAGGTGACATCTTGGCACATGCCGAACATTTATGGCATATTCCCGATTAGTTGTTTGCTGATTGGGCTCTGATGCGTACCCCCGAGGATTCAATTCTCGAGGAACAGTACCCTCGAGGGTATATAGTCGACGTCATAGCCATTAATGATCAGCAATCATGACTGTTGGTTTTTGGATCTCGAGAGTGCAGGGGCTCATTAATAGCCTTGTCTCAGTCACTCACATCGTCATAAGTGTGCTATCAAGTCACCTTAAATGTTGGTGTCGATACATGTACTCGACTCCTCTGAACCATTACTCCTCAGCTCCAGTCCTCGGCGTCTGTTGAGCTCCATAACAGCTATATCTTTATATGTGTCGATCTGGGGGCTGATGAACTACCTAAAGTCCCATCAACAACGATTAAAAAAAAATCAAAGGCCTGTTTGGTTTACATCTCAAAAAATAGTATTCGAAAATTATTTTTGAGAAGAGTTTTAAGAAAGTGTTTTTAAAAATTCTTAGATTACAAAACATGTTTGGTTATATATTTTTGAAAATAGTTTTAAAAAATAAAAATTATAAAATTTATTTGGACAATAATCTACAATTTTTCCACATTTTCTCAACTCTCTCTCTCTCTTTCTTTCACTGTGTATCACCCAACACCCACAACCAAAAACCACCATCAATCCCAACACCCACAACCACCATCAACCCAACAACTACCATCAACCCAAACCGAGAACCATCCAAACCCACCACCAAGACCACCATCCAAACCGAGAACCACCCAACAACCACAACCACCACCATCACGCAAATCGAGAACCACCTAACACCCGTAACCACCACCAACCCACACCAAGAACCACCCACTACAAAGACCACCACCCTAAACCAAGAACTACCCAACACCCCACAACCACCACCAACCCACACCAAGAACCACCAAATACCCACAACCACCACCACCACCCTAACCGAGAACCACCACCCAACACCCAACATTTACAACCACCACCAAAGGATCTGTACTTCCAGTCGCCGGATCTGTACTTCTAGTCCCCGGATCTATGCTTCCAGTCACCGGATTTTATGGGTTGAAGACACAGTCATGGTGTCGGCACAAGAGAGAGAGAGGTCAAAGAGAGATGAGGGAAAAAGAATGCAAAAAAAAAAAGCTTTTATATTGATACAATGAGCGCACAGTAAATAGATTTGTGCGTTTTTCGTATTTTCAAAATCTTCAAATAAAAGCCAAAAAAAAAAGCCTGACTTGTTTTTCTGTTTTTGTGTTCTAAATTTTATTTTTTTCGAAAATTTTGAGAATAAAAAATTGTTTTGCAGATGTTAACCAACACATAGCCCAAATATTTTGTTTATTTTAGTTGGTCTTGAATTTTCTCTCTTTTAACGGAAGAATATGTGTGATATTTGTCATAACTATGCACAACTGAGGCAAAAACTTGAAAATAATTCACATATAACATACATGTATACCAATTAATAAATAAATAGTATAAAATAGAATATACTTAAATAAATCTATCTGACAATCTTAAAATAAATTTTATCGAATAGCCATCAATATTATCCTCAAAATCATTTATATTGCAAAGTACCGGCGTACCTGTTATTAAAACCTTTTAGCCTAATCACTTTTGGACCAGGACCGGACCACGCCTCCATGAGGAATCAGAGAAGCCTCTTGTCCTCAACTCTTAACGCTCAACATTCTCTCTCTCACAGTCTCGCTCTAATCTCTGTCGTCTGGAATCAAAGAAGCCTTCGTCGTCGACGGTGAATCAGTGGAGCCTTCTAGAGTTCTGGTAAGCCCCTTTCCTATCTCATTCTCTCTCTTTCTCTCATAGTCTCGTTCTCTCACAGTCTTACTCTCTCTCTTTCTCCCCAAATTTGAGAGATTATTTTTTACCCTAGTTTATTTCAGAGATCTAGTATTTTTTGACCCTAAATCCCCAAATTCGAAACTCTGGTCCGATTCTGACAATCGGAATCGGAGTAGAGGCAGAGTCAAAGATATTATACGTTGGAGTTGGAGTTGGAGTCGGAGTCGGAGTCGAAGTCAGAGACAAAAAATCATTCCGCCAAGAGTCGGAGTCGAAAATCGGAGTTCATGGTTCTGACTCCATTGGAGTCGGTGCCCACCCCTGCTGGTTGCAAACAATATTACGAATTATTTATAGTCTTATTTCAAGTGCTTATCTAAATAATACATTATAGATAATACATTATATTCGTACTATTGAGCTGATTATAATACCACTTGGGAAGGTGGTATTATAGTCCAATTCAAACGTGTTAAGTTATAAATTTATTATTTTACCCAATAGATAAAAAAAAACATTAATAATCCCACATTTAATCCGGTGTCTTACCAGACATTAGATTAATGTGTAATATTTTTGTCATATATTTAATCTTGTATTGAATTTGATTAACCTGGATTACCTAATATGATCCATTCTTTTATAATGCAATAACTGAACGAGTCCAGAGGTTGACTAAAGAGAAAGAGAGAGAGGGTATGCGAAGCAAAATTTGGACGGGAATCTAAATTTTAGGGAGTTAATATCAACCCTTAGAAATTTGGATAAATCTGAACTGTAAAAATCAAAAGTCATTGTTTATATTTTTAAAATTTGAATTGTCTCGTAATTTATTATATAGATACTATAGGTAACTCATGCTTTGCAATGTGAATGATTTTGTGAGGGATGTTAGTGGCCGTTAGATGAATCTATTTGAGACTATCAAATGAATTTATTGAAATCTGCACTGTTTTATATTATAGATATGTAAAATATTGTAACTGTGATATAAGTTTGAAGGAAGAGAGTAAATCTACATGTGTTTATACAAAATAAATAATACTTGAAAAATACTTAAAAAGCAAAAAAAGATTAATACACTTTTATGCAATGGATTCAATGATTTATATCAACAGCCCTGACCCCTGATTCTTTATTGTTCTGCAGAGTATCAGCGAACAAGTTGCTAATTATTTGAGGGATCCGAGCTGAATGATTAACGGAATGCAGCAGAGGAGTGCAGCTATTTCTATATTTGGAACTGTAAGTCCTTATCTTCATCCAAACATTGAATGAGATGTGGACAATGTGTGCATACTCTGCTTTACATGTTATATCGTTCATTGTTGTTAGCAGCTTCTGGATTTGGTTGGCAATCTTAAGAAACCTGTTTCCAACTTATTCTAATCCGAGACTTGAGTTAGTCACTCTAATTTTTATTTTTTTAGGCTATATTTGGTAGCCCCAGAAAAAAAAAAAAAAGCATTGAAATGTTGTGTGCAATTTTTCACAAATGTTTCCTGTGTTGGCTCATTCATTGGAATCACTCTTCTAATGTATAAAGTACCCTTCGATAATATATGTCAAACAAAGGAGAGCAATTTTATTTCCTAGTTTGTGCAAAGATGGTCCTAGTATACTGAGAAGTCTCTAAGGATAAACCCTATAGTGAACTTCTCTATAGTAAAATTATTAATCGATTATTCGTTTGGGAAGGAAAGCAGGTTTTGTATGTCAAGAAATTTGTGCCTACTTTCTGTATAACTCCTACCATTCAGTAGGTGTGGCTTGGAAAACTTTTGAGTTTGGAGTTTACATGGGCTTGTGTGAATTCTAAATGTCATGTAAATTGTTGAGCCATTTTTTATTTAGTTTTTCCCTTATTTGTTCTTTGGAAATCTTTGGCTCAGCTTATAATCCAGTTCATGAAGTAACACATATCACCATGCATTGCCATCTTGATGGTGCCAATCCATACTGCTTTTTTGTAGATATCATAAAATCAGATGAATATAAATTATTTTATCGTATGAAAATGTTTTTTCCATGTGAGGCGTTATGAAAGTTTCATGGATCAGAGTCGTCAGACAATATACTGATTCCTTAACTCTATTCAGGACCGCAAGGCAGATGGTGACCCTGAACTTCCGGAGGTGGGAAATGAGGTTGGTGGTGGGGGTGGGGGTGGTGTTGCTCAGTATTGGCCGTGGGCCGCTGCGAGCGCTGCCCAACTGGCATGGGGAATTTCCGCCTTTAGGAGAGGATACGCCGGCGATTCTCGTTTGATGCCCTTGAAGGCCTTCGCTGTTGCCTCCCTCTTCCTCGGCGCCTCCTCCACAGCCGCTTTTGGAACGCTCCGTGCCTCTGGCATACACTCAGTTTGTTATCTCTCTCTCACTCTCTTTAAGTTTCTAATTTGCACCTAGGGTGTAAATATTTTTGTTTTTTGGGTTTTTGCCTAGGGTGTACGCATACAATTAATGCTTTGATGCTGTTTCTTCTTACATATTTGAGAAAAATTGAAGTAGAATAAAGATAGAAAAAGATTGTTTAATTTAGTGTTTTGAAGTAGAACCAATGTTTTGAGTAGTTTGGAGAGTTATTACATTGTTTAATTTGTTCCTTACAGAAGTCATTTGGGTTTTGATGGGTGTAGAAACCATGTTCAGAACTTGCACTGAACTAATCAGCTTGTGTTTTTGGTCTAATAGCAATGGTTGGCTACTAAGAATCAGCTACCAGGTTCATATCACATCATGGGTGTTTTGGGGTGTGGTTAGTGTGAGGGGTTGAATTTTTGTTAGCGTTAAATCAGTTGTTTATGTTAGCTATTTTATGGTTTTTCTCCCTCCATAAACCGGTGGTGTCATTGACATGTTTTGAGAATGGATTATTGGAGATCATTTACCTGTGCTTTCAAGCAAACTGACTGTATTCTTTTTACTTCCAAGAACAATAATCAGGATGTGTCGTGTTTGGCCAGAGTAGATTTGGGTGGAAAGGAACAGAAATCAAGGGCAAAATTTCCCCCTTTCATGTTTGATTTGGAGGTGAAGTTTCAGTAATCTTAATCAACTCCTTTCCTTCTTGAACCTTCCTGCTCTGCAAAAAAAAAAAAAAAAAAAAAACAATGCCTATTTGTTGGTCTTCACTCAATAACAAAATCTTAAGCCTTCCATGCTTCCATTTGACACCATCTCTTTGTTTATCACCCTTAAGCTCTGGCAGTCTTTGAACTAAGATTCCCACAATTTATTAGGTTTAAAATGATATTTTTTTCCATCTAAAGGTTATGAATTCTAGTACCTTTCTATCCCTTCCTATAGCTATATAACATTAGTTATCTTCTTGTTTGCGCTATTGCCAAATTGTACAATTTTGATTCCACAGCAACTTGAAAGTTCAAATAATGACATGGGCGCTCTTGCATTGAGTTTAATTTGTCTTGAACGATATGAATTAGCTAATGGAATAAAAATATCTAAATCTTTTCTTTCCATCCTCTTGCAATCTAGCAAAACCCATTTGTATATTTGATGCCATGTACCAACGTACACATGCACAAAGTATTCATATGGTGGGGCCACTACTAGGCCATCACTTACCACACCGACTTTGAGATTCAGGCCTACTATTTGTGGGAAGGATTTTGAACTAATAAAACAAAGTCTCTAAGTTGATTTGTTGGAGAGAGGCTTTGATATATATATCTGGAGTGGTGGTTTTGTTGCGAGTTTTGACAGAGTTGACAAAGGTTTTAAGACAATTGATGCCATTTTTGCTTGGAATTCATAGAATTCGAGGTGCTAGTGAAGTTTGTTAAGAATAGTAGTGTAGAATGTATAATTTGTTAATAGTAAGAAAGTGTATGTGTAATTCTTATTATTGTAGGTTAACTATAAATACAAATGATATATGAGAGTTAGGTTATGTTCTAAACCTCTCTGTTTTCTCTCTAAATATTGTTTTAGTCCTCCAAACTTAATATAGTATCAGAGCAAGAAATGATTCTAAATATATATTGTCTTTATTAATACTATTCATTATGTGGGCCTTGTTCGTGTGACTGTTGGTGGCGTTGTTGTGGTGGTAGTTTGGCCTTGGTTCATTGTCGTTTGTCTGTATAGCTTCGTGGCTGTGGTGTGTGGTGGTTGGTGGTGTTGTTGTGGTCTTCGGCGTGAGGCGTGAAGTGTTGTTGTGGTCTTTGGTAGTATCAAGGTGTGAGACTACTGTGGTCTTTGACGTGTAGTGGCTTTTGTCTTGGTTGCAGTGGTGTTGTGGTGGTGTGGTGTTTTCTATGGTGGTGGTGTGGCTGCTGGGACGTCAGCGACGCAGGTAAGGGTTTATTTTGAAACCCTAGTTAGACAAAGAAGACAAGACCCATCGGATCAGCTCCGGATCGGTTCAGCCCAGACCTGGTCCAACCCGAGGTCCAGAGCAAACTGGGTCCAGACCCTAACTAGATTGGTTCAAGGCCGGTTCAACCTCGTTTGGTTGATTCTAAGCCGGTTCAACCCCTGTTTGGTTTATTCTAAGTCGGTTCAGGCCGTTTTGAATCGGATTAGACTAGTTTCTTCTATTTTTGCTCCGATTCAGTGGCTCTGTGAGCTTGGTTTGCCCGGTTCAATGAGCCAGTATGCTTTTCCTGTCCAATTCAGAGGCCTAGAGAGGTCCTCCAGTCTGGTTCAGCTATCCAATAGGGTACTCCTGTCCGGTTCAACAGTCTAGAGGGGTCCTCCAGTCTGGTTCAGCTTTCCAACAAGGTTTCCCTCTCTGGTTCAGCGATTCGGGGACTTCCTCTTGCTCAGTTTGGTTGTCCAGCAGTAAGATTGCTCATAGAACCTAAACAAGATGCTATTGCTCCGTCTTTGCCTCCTCCCTCCACTTTTCCAATTATTCTTAATGGTCCTATGACTTCCGTTAAACTCAATGAGACTAATTATACTTTATGGTCCCGTTCTGTTCAAGTCTTTCTTCAAGGCAAAAGTTTTAAGAAATATTTGGTTAATCCTAAACCCAAGGAAGGTACTCATGGATATGATTAGTGGGAACAAGAGGACGCTCAGATAATTTTACCCATGCTTATAAGGTGTGCAAGGAGTACTTTCGGTTGGAGCAGGGTACTCTGAGCCTTGCGGATTATTACTCTCACGTTCGAGGAGTCTGTGAGGAGATGAAGATCTACCATTCATTTACTACTAATGTAGCAGTTTGGCAGCAGCAACATGAGGACTTGAATGTTGTTCGATTTTTGGTAGGATTGAAACCTGAATATGAGGCTATTCGTTCTCAGATTTTGGGTGGTTCAAGTCTTCCATCATTGCTTGAGGTTTTCTCTCGTTTACAACGTATCACATTGTCTACTCCTTCTGGGATTGATCAAGATGTCTCCACTGATCGCTCAACTCTTGTAGTTCCTAGTAGCCACAGTGATAGTCATCGTGGCGGACATGGTGGTCGAGGAGGTCGTACAAGAGGTCGTACGGGTGGTCGTGGGGGCTGTAGTGGATCCCGTTCCTGTACTCACTGTGGTCGAGGAGGGCATACTGTTGATTTCTGTTGGGATTTACATGGAAAACCTTTTGGTGTTGCGAATTAGGCTTCTTATCAGGATGATACCTCTGTTGTTGCTCCCATATCTTGATCAGCTCCACCAGACATTGGGTCAGTTACTATTACACTGGGTCGAGAGGACTATGTCTAGTTTCTGTCCCAACAACAGGTTGTACCATCTCCCTCCTCTGTTACTTTTGCCCGGTCAGGTACTGCTTCTACTTGTTTATTGTCCTCCATTCGCAGTCCCTATATCATAGACTCCGGCGCTTCTGATCACATGACTGGTGCGTCTGATATTTTTTTTATTTATCATCCTGCTACTTCCACACGTAGTGTTACTCTTGTTAATGGTACTTGTTCTAAAGTTTCAGGTTTTGAGACTACTCATTTGAGTCCTGATATGTCCTTATCTTCCGTGTTATTTGTCCCTCAGTTTCCTTTTAGTTTACTTTCTATTAGTAAGATTACTCATTCTCTCAATTGTTCTGTGACCTTTTGTCCATCTTATTGTGTCTTTCAGGATTTCAAGACGAAGAGGAAGATTGGTACGGGGCATGAAGCTAGTGGCCTATATTACTTTGATTTTGATTCACCTACTCGGGCTCTACAGACCTCGTTGTCTCCTTTTCAATGGCATTGTCGTCTTAGACATCTCTCTCTCCAGAATCTAAAGTGCCAAGTTTCCAATCTTAGTTGTTTGTCATCTTTGTCTTATGAAACTTGTCAACTTAGTAAGTATTACCGTGTGCCATTTCAGTCTAGAGTCCATAATCGTGTGTCTAGTCTATTTGAATTAGTCCATTCTGATATATGGGGTCCAATAAAGAATATTTTATCTAATAAATATCTTTATTTTTTGACATTTGTTAATGACTATTCTCGTGTGACTTGGTTGTTTTTAATGAAAGTTTGGTCTGAATTATTGTCTATCTTTGAGACTTTTCGTAAGGAAATAAAAATTTAGTTTGGTTGTCGTATATATACTTTACGTTTTAATAATGCTCGAGAATATGAATTTGATCATTTTTCAGCTTATCTTAATAAAACTGGCATTATTCATCAGACTTCTTGTGCTTACACCTCTCCACAAAATAGTGTTGCTGAACGCAAGAACCGTCATTTGTTGGAAGTAACCCGTGCCCTGTTATTCGAGATGCATATTCCCTGATATTATTGGAGTGATGTTGTTCTTACTGCTTGTCATCTTATTAATTGTATGTCATCCTCTGTATTAAATGGGCACAACCCATATTCTATCCTTTTTCTTGATAAGGCCTTATTTGTCCTGACTCCTAAGATTTTTGGTTGTGCCTGTTATGTTCACAATTTGGGTCTTGGGTTTGACAAACTTGACCCTCGAGCTACCAAATGTGTATTTCTTAGTTACTCACCCACGCAGAAGGGGTATCGTTGCTATAGTCCTTCTCTGCACCGATATTTTACTAGTGCCGATGTCACGTTTGAAGAATATGTTCCATACTTTTTAGTACTTTCTCAGCTTTTAGATTTGGACTTTGGATCCTTTTCTGTCTTACCTTCTCTTTCCTCATCTTCAGATATTCCGCTGTCCACTGTGTTACCATCTCCTTTACCTCTCTGTGTCTACTCTCGTCGTCCTTGCCCATCGACTGAGGTGCTCGTACCGTCTTCCTTACCTCCTTCTAATCTTGGTACATCAGGTAATTTAGACTCCTTACCTATTGCTCTTCGCAAAGGTACTCATTCATGTGTTACTAATCATCCCATTTCTCATTTTGTTTTATATAATGCCTTGTCTCCTGTCTTCTCCTGTTTTATTTCACAATTATCTGCTATATCTATTCCTAAGCATTTACAGGATGCATTATCTAATCCGGGTTGGAGGAAAGCTATGGAGGAGGAGATGGATGTTTTACATTATAATGGGACTTGAGATCTCGTTCCTTTACCCTCTGATAAACGAACTGTTAGTTGTCGTTGGGTATATACTGTTAAATTTCATCCAGATGGTTTTGTGGAACGTCTCAAAGCTCAGCTTGTTGCAAAGGGCTTTACTCAGACTTATGGTGTTGATTATGAGGAGACTTTTTCTCCTGTTGCCAAAATTTTCTCTGTTCGTATCTTGATTTCTTTGGCTGCTAATCTTGATTGGCTCTTGTTTCAGTTAGACGTCAAGAATGTCTTCTTACATGGTGACTTGGTTGATGAGGTATACATGGAGCAGCCACCTGGGTTTACTGCTCAGGAGGAGTATGGTAAGAGTGTATGTCGATTAAAGAAATCTTTGTATGGTTTGAAGCAGTCACCGAGGGTGTGGTTTGGTAGGTTTTCAGATGCAGTTTTAGAGTTTGGTCTTTTTCGATGTCAGACAGATCATTCTGTGTTTCATAGACAGACAGAGGGTGGATATGTTCTATTGGTGGTCTATGTAGATGATATTATGATTACTAGAATCATTCTGTGTTTCATAGACAAACAAAAGCTGAATATGTTTTATTGGTGGTCTATGTAAATGATATTGTGATTATTGCAAATGATTCTGAGGGGATTGTCAAGTTAAAAATATTCTTACAGGATTGATTTCATACGAAGCATTTGAGAAAATTCAAGTATTTTTTGGATATTGAGGTGGATTGATTTAAACAGGGTATTTGTTTATCCCAAAGGAAATATGTACTTGACATGCTTGAGAAAGTAGGTTTGTTGGGTGGTAGACCGATTGATGTTCCTAACGATTGATGTTCCTATAGATCCGAATCAGAAATTATTGATGGATGATGGTGCATTGTTTGAGAATCCGGGTCGGTATCGCAGATTGGTTGGGAAACTTAATTATCTCACTATTACTCGATCGGATATTTTCTATGCAGTCAGTATATTAAGTCAGTCCATGAGATGTCCTAGAGTACCACATTGGGAGGTAGTTACTCGTATTTTGTGATACCTCAAACGAGCTCCTGGACTTGGACTGTTATATCGAGCTAATGAACATCTTAGAGTGTAAGGTTTCTTAGATGCTAATTGGGCTGACTCTCTTTTTGATCGGAGATCAACCATTGGTTATTGTACTTTTTTAGGAGGTAATGTTGTCTCATAGAAAAGTAAAAAACAACCCATAGTAGTAAGATCTAGTGCTGAGGCCGAGTATAGGGCAATGACACATACGACGAGTGAGTTGACTTGGCTACTACACTTCCTTCAAGAAGTTGGGTTTCCAGTTCAACTTCTTTTACAATTGTTCTGTGACAATCAGATAGCTATCTATATCGCTGTCAATCTTGTGTTTCACGAGAGAACTAAGTATATTGAGGTTGATTGTCACTTTATTCAGGACAAGATAGTAGCTGGGGAGATTACAACTCCGTTTGTAAAATCTGAAAATCAACTTGCATATATGTTTACCAAAGTATTGAGTCGTACACGTCTTACAGCTATTTGTTGCAAGTTTGGATTATATGATGTATATAGTCCAGCTTGAGGGGGAGTATTAAGAATAGTAGGGTAGAATGTGTAATTTGTTGATAGTAAGAGAGTGTATGTGTAATTTTTATTATTGTAAGTTAAATATAAATACAAATGATATATAAGAGTTAGGTTATGTTCTAAACCTCTCTCTGTTTTCTCTCTAAATATTGTTTTAGTCCTCCAAACTTAACAAAGTTAATTAGGTTTATGTTGAAAATTGAAACCACTGTAATAGTTTTTTTTCCGGAAAGTTTTTACGGGTAGGGTTTGCCAGGCCCATGCATTAGTTCAACACAAGGCCGACACTTGAGCAAATAGCAAGCTCCCCCCCAAAAAATATTTTACTAGTGTGTAAGACAATGTTTTTATATCAGATATTAAATTGATAAGAACAGATACTATACTTACATAGCCAAAAAGCCAAAAAAAGTATAAAATCACTTTAATAGTTGGTCCTGCCAGATTTTGACATCAATCATAGATGATGATACAAGCCTCTATTATCACAACTCAACTATTGCACAGTAGCTATGCATTGCCTTCACAAAATCTTTGCCAGAATCCTCAAACACTCACCTGCAAAGCATCATGACTCAACACCTTAGGATACCAACCAGCAGTCAAGCAGCTGTTATGAATGATCTGATCGGTAGTCAAGGAGATGGAAGAAGAAGAAGAGAAACTGGAAGAATGGGTGGTGATGGTGGACAGTGTGTCGAAGGGTATTTGGTAGGGTGTTGATAAGGGATGTGGTGTTGGTGTTGGGGTTTAGAAAACTCCACATAGACACACGAGGGTGGAAGCGTGGTCTGGGGGTGGGGGTGGGGCGATCGGAATATGTTGGTTTTGTCATGCCAGGGATTGGGAAGGGTGATTCAGTGTGGACCTAAATTTAGAAGTTTGATGTCACCTAGCATAGAAATATAATTCCACATACACTACATTTCTTTGTATTTATTGGATGGCAAAGGGAGCATAAGTGGCTTTATGGGATGGCATTTTTCAGGGTAATAAACTCACTGGTGGCAATTTTTTTATGCAGGTGGAAGACATGAAAGAAGTGGGTGCTGGTATAAGGACTGGACTTGGGGTACCTCGAAGGGCACAAGATGAATAGATGTTATATAAAGAGCATTGTAAATCTGTAGCCTTCAAATTTTTTGACCAAGAGATAGATATTTACTCTTTCTACTTTTCACTCTGTGAAATCCATTTTCAACAAATAAATCCGAATGATGGGGAGGAGACACAAAACTCAAATTGTTATTATTATTATTTTTGTGTGTGTTTGTAGTTTTTTCCTATTCAAGCAGTGAGAAGCCCTCACAGATTTGGAAGATAAAAAGCAAGCTGGTAGGTTCTTAACAATCTGATGATTCCAACAGGTCAACTCTTTCTAAATCTACCCCTCCAATCCCTTTTGCTTAAAAAAGAGGGGAAAGAAAATGGTAGGAAATTGCTAGAACATTTTGAATTCTTAACTTAAAGAGCATCTCTAGCAACAAAAGTTAGTTTAGTTACTCAAAAAATAATATTTTTTATTTTAGTTACTCACTTTTTCAATACACAATTTAATATATTTTTTTATAGTTTTAACTATTTTCTTTAAATATCATTTTTTATTCTTTTTGTATTATTTTTTTGTGGGAATCGTGAGAGAGAGAGAGAGAGAGAGAGAGAAAATTTTAAAGTATTTATACATGTTACAGTGATGTTTTAGCAAAATGTTATTTTAGATACTTTAGAGGTTCTCTTGAAGAGAAATATTAGGGTAAAATAGCTAAATTTTGAAATTTTGTTTGTGTACTTTAGCTACTCTCTTGAAGTTGTTCTTAGCTTACCACAAGGGTGATTGAGATTAATCTAATTACATTTCATTCAACTCAATGGTTATTGGTTAATCCCAGTTGTAAAGTTGTACCCATCCCATCTTGTCTCTGCAACACAAAACGATTAATTGTCACATGATTAAGTGGGTTTAGGTGAGACTTTAATGAGTGCGATTGGTAAACGGGTGAGCTTATTAGACCTGCTTAATAAATGGATCGTATTCAAGGGAGATATATAACTCGTTTATCACTTGTTTAAATAAAATTAATATAATAATAAATTAATAATTATTTTAATTTTTTAGTCAGGATAATTTATCCATTTTAATAATTAAACCTGTTAAATTTAGTTTTTTGATGAATTTATTTTTATCTATATCTATATCTATTTTATATTATTTATAAATGTTAACATCTGTGAAAATTGTTTAATTTTTTATTTTATCTCTAATTATTACAGTAAAATCAATTATATACACTTATATATTTTTATTTAATTTTTATTTTTTACTCCTATTCAACTTTCAACTTATTTTGGACTATTTTACAAGGACTTATAAATTTTTTTAAACTCATTTATTAGTAGTACAGTTATATACAAAATATACCAAAATTTCTTGATTATTTGAGAGAGTATTGTTGGTTGCACACTTAAAGTGTTTATTTGAGTCTGGTGGTGGACTGGTGACCTCAATCCCAATTCATGACTTTGGCCCAGGCCAAATTCTAAGAAGTTTAAGAAGATTAGAGTACGTGGTGAGTAATTATTAGAATACTCACTTTCTAACATCAGGACAATCTTTAATTTTACTTACCTTTTGTAACTATCATCCCCGAATGACTAGTGCCTTTACCTTCATGTCATCGACTCAATTAAGGCTCTGTGCCTATAAATTGTAAGCTTCCTCTACATAAGAGGACACTTTTTTGTATCTCTCTACACACCTCTCCATAGTTATCTCTCTCTTAATTACCACACCTCTCCCAGAGCTCACCTTTACTTTCTCTCTTACCTTATTTTATTAATAAAGATTCTTTGGCCACCGTTGTCGCTTTCGCAGTGGAATAGGTCTCCTTGACCAAATCACTATACATCTGTGTATTGACCCAGTGTTTGCCTTTTATTATTTATTTCTCTATTAATTGTCTATTAATTACACTATATCATACACTTGACTGTTGATCGTGCATAAATCCGTTTTGTGCATCATCAACGATAATGACAACATGGGATCATTGTGGGAAATAGGGCTTCTAAAATACAACTCTGAAAGATTATGCACATACATCCTCTATGGAAAGGTATTCCTCAGTTTTATTATAAACATTTTTAGCATCAGGTTGTTTTTGACACGTTTGCAGATAACAAACAACAAATGATTTGTAATCCACAGATCCTCCAACAAGTTGCAAAGGGTGATAGGAATCAAACTGTATTAACAGTGTCTGCAAGGCAACGTAGTATGTACCCCAGACCAGCTCTCTCCGTTAGCTTTTCATGAATTTTTAGGCATTGATCACACGGGGGCGATCTCCAGTAGACAAGTCTCTATATAAGTACCTGTGAATAATAATAACCCCCGATCATTGATGTGCCAGATGATATGCAAAACAACTATGCTATGTGGCATCTAGTTCTGGATGAGATTTACTAACAGCATATACTTGTATATTCATGTTTGTTTTTGACTAGAAATAAGATTAAAAATGGTGCAACCCCACGTCTTACTTTCGAATGTCAACTCAATATTTTACCACGTGTCAACATCTGTGGAGAAGATTTTTTTTTTTTTTTTTATAGTCAAAGACCTCGAGAGGATTTAAAAAATAGAAAAATATTTCTAATGGCACAAACATAAACCAGTCCAAACCAAACGAAATTCAGGACAAACCAGGACAGCAGGTGTTATATGTGTAAATACCTATTAACACAGAAGCTTATAACTCAATCGTTTAAGTATCAGTATCAAATAACTTCCACTGTTCTATCATGCTAAGCAGCTTTTTGGCCCTTTTTCTGAAGTTTCAAGCTGATCCGAAGGTCAGCCTAGTATCCATAGATATCAGTCAAATGTATTAGCATACACCAAACAACACAAATAAGTACTCAGCATACTATCATGTTGATAGTCTTCTTTTAAAAAATAAAATAAACGAAAGAGCATGCTGATGGGTCAAGCCCAAGAAGAACCCAATTTATATGGAAAACTCAAATCTCAATTGAAGAGTCCAGTCTTATAAAGACCCACTAAGCCTAATATAGTCCAAGTCCAGTCAAACTCATCAGTTTGGCTACGTCATCAAGAGGGAGCACGGGAGCCTTACCTGCACCGCCAAGGAAATAGTCCACCCTCACCTTATCCTTGACTGCATCTCATGGAAAGCACCTCAATCATCTCGCCCGTTGAGAAGAAGTCGTGAAGCTCCACCGAAATGGTTGCTTAGTTGTTGTAAAATAGCCTCAACCTGTTAGGGGGCCACTATAAATTGCACGCCCCACCAACACTTGGGGGCATCACACTTTACCTGAGCACAACTCTCTCCTCTCCCTCAAAGCTTGTACTCTCTACTTCCCACACCTTTGAGTTAATAAAGCACCCGACGACCAGAGCTATTCAAGAGTGGACATAGGTCGAGTTGATCGAACTACTATAAATTGCTTGTGTCTCTATCTCTTTACTTTAAATTACTGCATTTATTTTCAAGCACTTGAGAGGTGGTGTCCAAAGTCATTTTGTGCATCATCAATTTGGTGTCATCTGTGGGAAGCGACAAAATTCTCACTTCTAAACATTTTATTTGCTGAACCAATGACGATCACTACCAGATCCATGAACCAACACGAAAACAATCCACCACGAGAGGAGGAGGTTGCTCCTCCACCTACCAACCCTGTCCCAAATGTTCCAGCTCTAAATCCACAGCAAATGCTGAAGACCATGCAGCAGTTGGTAGCCCAAAATCAGCAGATATTGCAACTCATGCTCGTTGGACGAGGAGGAACGCAACTTGTTCAAGTAGCACACTGGTTTTAGTTTTAGTTTAACTCATAAAAATCATATACAAACAAATCACGAACAAAATAGTTACGATGTTCTAGCAAAGAACGAGAACCTAAAACCGTGAAGGAACTATGTATGAAATATGTACACAATCCAAATAGACAGAGAATCAACTCTTGTTCAAGTAGCACACTGGTTTCGTAGGATAGAGAGAAACAGAAATGAGAGTCATTGGAACTTGATCAATATGAAGAAAGGCATGAACTTGTAAAACTTTTAATTTATGACGGCTACATTCGTTACACATTGAAATAGAAGTTAAAGAAGCAAAGATATGGAAAATGAAATGGTTGAAATCTCAATGGTTTACCTGATATTCAATGCCCAAAATCTGTACATGCTAAATGTTAACAGAAATCAATGAAAACAAGGATAATAAACAAAACACATGTGACGATCAGAAATCAGAAGAAGAACAAAAAAAATCATAAGGAACATAACAACATCAGCTACTACAATATGAATTATGTCCTAACTGAAATTTGAACATCAAGCATGCCTAACTTAAGATGAAGCTTCCTTGCTTCCACAAACACATTCACATGAACTATTTATCGAAAGTGCACGGTGAACAAAAACAAAGTGCATATTGGATAGAACAGATGCGCAACAAGCAGATTTTGGGTTGTGCCTTTGGAGATATATATATATATATATATATGAATACACACACATGCATGCGCGCTCGCACACACACACACACATGCATAGGAAGATGCAGAGAGAGGCACAAAGTGAGAGATCTAAGACGGAGATGCAAGTGTTTCTATTAGGACCCTTGATTAACACACTATTCGGACCCTTGGGGTGCAAAGATGAGAATAACCTCACGATGAAATAGAGAAATGCAGTTTGGTATCTGATGAGTTGCAAAGGTCTTTGAGATAATAAACCTACGTATTAATTATACTTGAATATTGTTGGAAGATTAAAGGTTAAGAAGGATAAATGAGAGATAAAGGACTTAATTGACTTTGCATGGCATTTTCAAAATTTTGGAGGACAAAAGTGTCCAAATAAAGTTTTTCATGTATCTTGACATTTTAGAATAGTATAGATGATATAAATTTGAATAATGTTATGTTGACCACATTTTAGAACCAAATTAAAAGCCCAAATGACATGACACCTGATTATCTTGACATTTTAGAATAGTATAGATAATATAAATTTGAATAATAATATGCTGACCAAATTTTAGAACCAAATCAAGAGCCCAAATGACATGACCCCTGATTATCTTGACATTTTAGAATAGTATAGATGATATAAATTTGAATAATGTTATACTGACCAAATTTTGGAGCCCAAATGACATGACACCTGATTATTTGGAGTCTTTATTGGGACCCAAATAACATGACTCCAAATAAAGAAGTCCAACTCAGCTACCATATTATTTGGGCTCTTAATTTGGTCAGTGTAGCATTACTGTATAAATTTCATTAACGATTTATAGCCATTAAGGATTACTTTATTATTATTGAAATTAATAGTTAACTAATACAGTTTTCAAAAAATGTAACTTTACCATATATAAGAGAAAATATTAAATGAATCGAGGGTGACCAATTAAGTTAAATCCAGTTAATTGTAAATGAGAGCAGTGCCGGCCCGAGGCATAGTCAACTAAGGTGCTTGCGACCCAAATTTTAGAGAGGGCCAAAAAAAGTTTAGTATAGTAGGTCTAATTTGATTTGATTTTTTGTATTTTAAATATGATCTAAATTTTTAGGGCTTAAATTTTAAGAGTTTCACTCGATGTTTAATTTTGTTAGGTCCAAAATTACTCTCTGTTTAGTTAAGCCTAAATTTTAGAGGGCTCCTAAAAATTTATCCCTTCAATAGAGTAGATCTATTTTTTTTTTATTTTAGCTATGATCTAAATTTTTATATTTGAAAGATTATACTTGGTTGCTTGCACATAAGAGACTCAATATCAACAGTTTGCTCCAAAAAAGAAGACCATCCTATATTTTTCAGCAGTAATGGTGTATTCATTGTAAGAGTGGGGAGGAATGTATGGATCACCTATTTTTGCATTGTTCCTTTTTCTATAATTGGTGAATAGGCTTTTCGTTTTGGGCATGCGTGGAATTCCTCGGGTGCCCTAGATATTCTAGATTCATGTTAACTACTTTGGTTCCGGCACTTTAAGTTTTTATGGAGTTGTGCGGTTTTAACATTGTTTTGAGTGGTGTGGTCTAAAAGAAATGGGTGAGTTTCTGAAAAACGCATGGTTCAAAGTATCGGCCTATACTAATACGAGTTGGTTGAGTCGTATACGTCTCAGTACCTTCGGAGATAATACCGTTACATGATACATATAAATCCCGAATTTCGCACAACTCGACGGAGTCGTCCAAGTTCTATCCAAGTCAATTCCATATATTCCTTTATACTTGGTTCAAATCAATATCTAATTTTGTTGGATCTAAAATTACTCTATACTTGGTTAGTCCCAAATTTTAGAGGGCTCAAAAAATTTACCCTTTAATACAGTAGGTCTTTTTTTTATTTGTAATTTAAATATGATCCGAATTTTAAGAATTCAAATTAATATCTAATTTTGTTAGGTCTAAAATTACTGTTAAGTTCAAATTTTAGAGGCACCATTAAATTGCTTGTTCAAAACTTAAATTGATAATATCTCATTTACATTAATTAAGATTGCAAGAATTAACCATATTATTTATTTATTGAGAAAGATTTATTGTCAAAACTTAAATATAAGAATTTGATCAATATTTTATATTTAAAAAAAATAGATATTAATAGACGAGGGGGCGAGCCTTGTTGCAACGATAAAGTTGTTTCATTGTAACATGAAAATTATATGTTTGAGTCGCGAAAACAGTCTCTCTGTTTGCAGGGGGTAAGACTGCATACATTTAACCCTCTTTAAATCTCAACTGCATATATCAAACCCTCTCTAAACTCCGAAATGACAGAAGTCTCATACACTATGTACGCCCTAAACATTAACTGGACCCCATGTAAAATTTCTGCCTGCGGCCCGGTTTACCTTGGCCTGCCATTGAATGAGAGAATAAATTCTTGTAATTTTTTGTACAAGAAGATATACGTGAATTGAGCTCTACCTCACTTGGGAGGTGGCCCTGGTTTGGATCCAACCAGTCGATTTAAAGTAATAAATAAGACAACAAATCTTAATTATAACTAATATTGACTCTAAATATTACAAGAGGAAAAGACCATTTAGATTTGGAGATTATCACTATGGTAGAAATTTAAGCAGCTACAATTGAGTTTTGTTAGCAATTTCATTAATAGAGTAGGGGTAATTCCGTCATTTGGAACAAACGGTAACATGGTTACATGTTTTGAATTTCCTCTCTCCTCTTCTCCGTCTACTACCTTTTTCCATTCTCTCTCTTCTCTCTCTCTCTCACTCTCACTCTCACACACACATCCATTTTCCTTTGCTCCATAGTCTTCCTTGCTTCTTCACCTATCCTCGGAAAAAGCTCCTCTGTTCAACAATGGCGTGTCTAGACTCCTTCAGCAAACCCCATAGGCTAGTTCAAGACCAAGCTTCTCCTGTTGTTCCTAAGCCAAGCAAGTCCTACACAAACTTCTTATGTAAATCACTAATCATTGTCCTTGCTCTTCTTGTTATTCCCCTTTTTCCTTCACAAGCTCCTGAATTTATCAGCCAAAGTATAATCACCAAGTTCTGGGAACTTCTTCACCTTCTGTTCATTGGCATTGCTGTGTCTTATGGCTTGTTTAGTAGAAAAAAAGTCGATTTGGACATTGAAACTCACTCTGGAAATGATAGTTCACAGAATTATTTGTCTGGAATTCTACATGTTTCATCAATTTTTGAAGATGGATTTGAGAATTTATGTGGGTCTGATGAGAAAAAAGGGGTTCAAACTTGGAATTCTCAGTACTTACAGAGTGCATCTATCAGTGCATTCACTAAAGAAGAAGGTAAAGATTACAGATCTTCAGTTTGCAAAAATGGGTTTGAGAACCCATATGGGTCCGATGAGAAAAAGGTAACTCAGAACTTCCATGATGAATCCATGGTTGTAATTGCCAATGGAAACTATGGTCTTGACCAATGGGGCAAACCCTTGTAAGAGATTGATTTTAAACCCTTGGGTTTGCCTATTAGGAGTCTAAGATCAAGAAATGCTGACACTGATACCTCTAAATCCATTAAAAGAATTGGGTCTAGTTCAAGTTTGAGGGATTCTTCCAAGAAAGGTGATAAAATTGACAAAGTAAAATTTAGGGGCATGGTTCCTATTAATTTGGGGGAAAAGTTTAAAGAAGTTGCTGTAACTTCCCCCATCCCTTGGCGATCGAAGTCGGGGAGGATGGAAATGAGAGAAGAAGTATGTCCTGTTAAAACCCCTTCACATACTAGGCCTCTCTCTGTTGGCCAATTTGATCTTGAGAATCTCAAATCGCAGTCATTCCTGTGCCCAAAACCTTCTGAATCAAGTTCCATGTTTGCATCACTGAAGAAACCCTCACATTCTATTTCCCCAGAATTGCCTAACTCAAGAAAGAAGAATTTTGAGGAATCTTCTATGAGAGCTTCAAATTCACCATTAGCACCAAGAAATGGTGAAGCATCATTCGTTTCTTGAAAGAAAAGGGAATTTAGCATTGGATCTTCCTCAGAGATGAATGTGCAGAGGAGTTCCAAAGATGACTTGAAGAGAGATTTAAGTAAGAGTAGAAGGGAGTATCCACTGGGGAGAGAAAAGCAGGATATGGATTCGTTGGCCCCGGAAGTGAAATCCTCAACTCTTGTCGAAGGTTTGTCAAGGGGAAAATCGGTTAGAACAATTAAATCAAGTGAGCAATTTGTTGAAACAAAGGAAAAGGGTTATTCAAATCAAAGAGATGACAAATTTGGAATGAAGTGAGATCAAATTGAAGTAACCTCAATGGAAAATCCAGGAAGGAGAGAGAGACCTGAAAATCTTCCAGTCCACTATAGAAAAAATAAGATTGACCATCTTTGTCATATGCCAAACTCTCACATTTTACAAGTATCAGAATGGAGAAAAGCAAGACACTGCTGACAGTGTAGTGGAGGCCAAAGAGGACTCAGAGTCAGACAGTGAGTTGGACAACTTTCAAGTGAGTTCAGATGAAGAAGAAGCTCAATATGATAGTGAGGACGATGCTGAACTTAAAACCAGTGAGGTTGATCAGAAAGCTGGCGAGTTTATAGCCAAGTTTAGAGAGCAGATTAAGCTTCAGAAAACTGCATCAATGGAAAGATACCCTGATTGGTAGATGTTCAACAAGGTAAATTACCAATTTCTGATATGCCAAAGCAATCAATATATAGAGATGATAAGAAGTTGATTTGCTATCCCATCTCCGTTTTGTTTTCTGTTTGCATCCCACAATGTAAATTTAGCTTAATTTTTCATCATACCTGGGCTTTGGTGTATATTTGTAGTGCATGAGAATAGGAAATTTATCGCAGAAAGTGTGTTTCTGTTGCTACATCTCTCAGTTTTGCCCCAACATTCTGGCTTGCTTGTGCACATACATACAATTAAGCATTATGTATCAAGGCATGTAGCATTTGGATACAATGATATTTTCCCTAAATGGCTATACCAACCAAGTGAAGATAAAGGATTCGCCATTGAAAGAACCAACAAACCTCCTGTATTTTTTATTTTTTTTCAAATGGTTTAAAATGAGGTATTAGCCATCGACTGGGAGATCAATGAGACGCATGAGTCGGGTTTCTCAGAATCGTATTGAGGGATACATACGAAATGCTATATAGAAGAAGTTTAGTACAGTGAAAGATATAAGTTGTATCGCAGTGTGACGGAACAATAATGGTTGAGTTGATTATGATAATTCGAACAACTTGTTCGAGTTGTGGGAGACTCTTAGATTACACAAAATGTGCAAAGGTATCAAATGGGAAAGTTCTAAGTATTCAAATGAATCATATGGATATCAACCGATACTTTAAACTAGTTTTTAGCTGACAGAGTAGTTATGATTCACAAGCTTGAATCTTTGACAACAACACTATGCCGTCCCCTGCCCAGTTTTCCGAGTTAATTATGTCACAAGCTTTTATCAACACAAGCTCTACGGTTTGAACTGATTATATAAATGCTTCTTGGTTTTTTTTTAGATTATTTGATACATGTCAACAAAGAGAAAGGCTTGGAATCAGGAATCTTCCCCTTTGCATTTTATATGAAAAAAGAAAACCACTAGTAGCCTATTCTGCCTATTCTTTGTATCTGAAAGATTGGATATCTAACATTTTCATTATTAGTAAGCCTTTGTTTGAAAGATGTTGATGCATTTGATATTTCGATCAGGAGTGTCCAAATCAACTTATGTATACCTCAATTAATCTCTTCTTTGGTTTGATCTCTAAGGCATGTCATCCATGCTTGAACCAAGAAATTCATAAGGAATAAATTCCTTATGACTAAATTCCAAAAGAAATGTCATGTTTCGAACTAAGAACGTTTAGATTACAATTCATTCATGTCTCCACTATGTTGGTTAACCTTGGGGTTGTGTTTCTTAGTTTTGCCAATGTAATAAGCCCATCTGAAATAATGAGTAACGCTACTATATTTGCTATTCATCATGACTTCATACGTTGAATGTATCAAGATTTTTAACTTTTCATAAGATTATCATGGATGCTAATAAGCTTACTTTTAACATACACACGTGATTTGTAGGCGATTGCAAGTATCCAAAACTTAAATTGCATCAATGAAATCTGAAGAGTGCATGGTTATTGCAACGATTTCCCAATACAAAAAGAAGAGAAATGAAAGAAACCAATAAATGCTATTTCAAAAGTCTAAAGTGTAACAAATTTTTGTGTCTATGTGTTGTTGGACCAAAAGCGCTTACCGTTGCACCAAAATTTGCAAGTATTAGTAAAGACACAACTTTTTTCTCTTTAACTAGCTTAGCAACAAGCGCTCATGGGTCAGGTTGGTTAAACCCTCCACCAAGTCTCAAGGAGCACCTCTACCCAGGCAGAGGCCAACATGCGTGTGTGTGTGTGTGTGTGTGTGTGTGTGTGTGTGTGTGTTGCAATGAACATTTGTATACATCTATGTTCATGACATGAACCACCCATTTTACCATTCATATACCAACATTTAGTGTTAAGGTTACTAGATAATTATAGTTTACTAGCCTGACAGAACTGGTCTTCAGAACATTCGCCTACCTCGGTTGGCAAGTCACCTTGAGCCTCCTCTGCGATACTGAACTGGTTGTTATTTCATTTGGTTTTTGTAAAACAATGGGACATCATGATAGACCAGTATAACAGAAACAAAAACATGGTATAAGGAAGAGAAAAAGGGTAAGGAACATACCTGTGATATATAGTAATGCTACTTTCTATGCCACACAAACAACAAACATGAAGAACCGTATCTCTGCCTGCTCCAGCATCAACCAACAACCAAGTTGATCGTGCTAGTAGTCGGGTGGTAAGGCATTTTGATGGGATTCAAATGATAAACATCATTTTCAACTTGCCGGCTATGAGGTAAGAGTGAACCAGCACTGTCCATTAAAACGCCCAAGAAGAAAAGCAAACAGATTTAAAACAAAGCACTCAAATGAAAATCAAGTAGTGACGGAATCTGATAGTACAATCAGTAAACATTTGTAACAATCATCAACAAAATCCTCTGGAAGAGAAGCATTGTTCGAGACTGAAGCAACAAATGGGAGACATGAGAAAAGATTGGGCAAAAAATGACTATATAGTTCCTTGATAAGAAAAGAATCATCCCTCGAGATTATTGCAGCTGGTTGCCTAATAGTCTTTGAAAGGTTTACAAGGATTCATGTATATATATGTACAGATTCTAATATCAAACACCTGTTGATGTATGCAATAGTGCCTCAGTTTCCTTGATAAGAAAAGAATCATCCCTCGAGATTATTGCAGCTTGTTGCCTAATAGTCTTTGAAAGGTTTACAAGGATTCATGTATATATATATGTACAGATTCTAATATCAAACACCTGTTGATGTATGCAATAGTGCCTCAGTTTCCAAACAAAGCACTAACAAACGAATGTTATAGTAAAACCAATACACCTCTCAGGAGATTACAATATAATTGATACAACAGATAACAAGTCACATCTACAGAAAACGTGTAACTATTCAGCTTCTTCTGCAGATGCCCTATGGTAGACAATTGTCTCGTTGGAACTTACAGGATTTGCATGATACTGCCCATAAAAGCAAACAGATTTAAAACAAAGCACTCAAATGAAAATCAAGTAGTGACGGAATCTGATAGTACAATCAGTAAACATTTGTAACAATCATCAACAAAATCCTCTGGAAGAGAAGCATTGTTCGAGACTGAAGCAACAAATGGGAGACATGAGAAAAGATTGGGCAAAAAATGACTATATAGTTCCTTGATAAGAAAAGAATCATCCCTCGAGATTATTGCAGCTGGTTGCCTAATAGTCTTTGAAAGGTTTACAAGGATTCATGTATATATATGTACAGATTCTAATATCAAACACCTGTTGATGTATGCAATAGTGCCTCAGTTTCCTTGATAAGAAAAGAATCATCCCTCGAGATTATTGCAGCTTGTTGCCTAATAGTCTTTGAAAGGTTTACAAGGATTCATGTATATATATATGTACAGATTCTAATATCAAACACCTGTTGATGTATGCAATAGTGCCTCAGTTTCCAAACAAAGCACTAACAAACGAATGTTATAGTAAAACCAATACACCTCTCAGGAGATTACAATATAATTGATACAACAGATAACAAGTCACATCTACAGAAAACGTGTAACTATTCAGCTTCTTCTGCAGATGCCCTATGGTAGACAATTGTCTCGTTGGAACTTACAGGATTTGCATGATACTGCCCATAAAAGCAAACAGATTTAAAACAAAGCACTCAAATGAAAATCAAGTAGTGACGGAATCTGATAGTACAATCAGTAAACATTTGTAACAATCATCAACAAAATCCTCTGGAAGAGAAGCATTGTTCGAGACTGAAGCAACAAATGGGAGACATGAGAAAAGATTGGGCAAAAAATGACTATATAGTTCCTTGATAAGAAAAGAATCATCCCTCGAGATTATTGCAGCTGGTTGCCTAATAGTCTTTGAAAGGTTTACAAGGATTCATGTATATATATGTACAGATTCTAATATCAAACACCTGTTGATGTATGCAATAGTGCCTCAGTTTCCTTGATAAGAAAAGAATCATCCCTCGAGATTATTGCAGCTTGTTGCCTAATAGTCTTTGAAAGGTTTACAAGGATTCATGTATATATATATGTACAGATTCTAATATCAAACACCTGTTGATGTATGCAATAGTGCCTCAGTTTCCAAACAAAGCACTAACAAACGAATGTTATAGTAAAACCAATACACCTCTCAGGAGATTACAATATAATTGATACAACAGATAACAAGTCACATCTACAGAAAACGTGTAACTATTCAGCTTCTTCTGCAGATGCCCTATGGTAGACAATTGTCTCGTTGGAACTTACAGGATTTGCATGATACTGCCCATAAAAGCAAACAGATTTAAAACAAAGCACTCAAATGAAAATCAAGTAGTGACGGAATCTGATAGTACAATCAGTAAACATTTGTAACAATCATCAACAAAATCCTCTGGAAGAGAAGCATTGTTCGAGACTGAAGCAACAAATGGGAGACATGAGAAAAGATTGGGCAAAAAATGACTATATAGTTCCTTGATAAGAAAAGAATCATCCCTCGAGATTATTGCAGCTGGTTGCCTAATAGTCTTTGAAAGGTTTACAAGGATTCATGTATATATATGTACAGATTCTAATATCAAACACCTGTTGATGTATGCAATAGTGCCTCAGTTTCCTTGATAAGAAAAGAATCATCCCTCGAGATTATTGCAGCTTGTTGCCTAATAGTCTTTGAAAGGTTTACAAGGATTCATGTATATATATATGTACAGATTCTAATATCAAACACCTGTTGATGTATGCAATAGTGCCTCAGTTTCCAAACAAAGCACTAACAAACGAATGTTATAGTAAAACCAATACACCTCTCAGGAGATTACAATATAATTGATACAACAGATAACAAGTCACATCTACAGAAAACGTGTAACTATTCAGCTTCTTCTGCAGATGCCCTATGGTAGACAATTGTCTCGTTGGAACTTACAGGATTTGCATGATACTGCCCATAAAAGCAAACAGATTTAAAACAAAGCACTCAAATGAAAATCAAGTAGTGACGGAATCTGATAGTACAATCAGTAAACATTTGTAACAATCATCAACAAAATCCTCTGGAAGAGAAGCATTGTTCGAGACTGAAGCAACAAATGGGAGACATGAGAAAAGATTGGGCAAAAAATGACTATATAGTTCCTTGATAAGAAAAGAATCATCCCTCGAGATTATTGCAGCTGGTTGCCTAATAGTCTTTGAAAGGTTTACAAGGATTCATGTATATATATGTACAGATTCTAATATCAAACACCTGTTGATGTATGCAATAGTGCCTCAGTTTCCTTGATAAGAAAAGAATCATCCCTCGAGATTATTGCAGCTTGTTGCCTAATAGTCTTTGAAAGGTTTACAAGGATTCATGTATATATATATGTACAGATTCTAATATCAAACACCTGTTGATGTATGCAATAGTGCCTCAGTTTCCAAACAAAGCACTAACAAACGAATGTTATAGTAAAACCAATACACCTCTCAGGAGATTACAATATAATTGATACAACAGATAACAAGTCACATCTACAGAAAACGTGTAACTATTCAGCTTCTTCTGCAGATGCCCTATGGTAGACAATTGTCTCGTTGGAACTTACAGGATTTGCATGATACTGCCCATAAAAAGCATAAATAACAACTGTAACAATGCTGAGGACGACAAATCTCACCCAGGCTTCATAGTGTAACTACAAAATAAAGTTGGTAATCAGCTTGGTGCATTAATCAATTCTTTATATTTCGTTTCAGAATTATGTTTTTGCAGTGTTCATGTAGTTTGTAGCAGTGCTTTATAAGCAAACCTGAGCAAAAAGGAACATGTTGAATAAGATGCAAACAGCCGGCACAATTGGAACCCCTGGACAAGAAAAACTTGGTGGATCTGTATAAACCTGTGAGAAGGAACAGGAAAAGGTGGATATTAAGAGGAAAGAGGTATAGTCAACTTAGGCAAAAGCTGTGCCAAAATTTTAGACAACAGCTAAAAGCAGTGTCCTGTAATCTTGGATGGATGGTAATTTTACATCCGTGCATNAAGGAAAGAGGTATAGCCAACTTAGGCAAAAGCTGTGCCAAAATTTTAGACAACAGCTAAAAGCAGTGTCCTGTAATCTTGGATGGATGGTAATTTTACATCCGTGCATCACCTACAGAATCCATGGGATCAAAATGTCAAATAGAGATGCATTTGGGAATCCTAAACACTTTGTTTATTTCTTTACCTTTTCTTGTCTCTTGGACCATTTTAAGGAATTAACCATATTGGCAATGAAAGCGCCAAACCAAATCCCTCCCCCCCCCCACCCCGAAAAAAAAAAAAAAAAAAAACAACTATATTTTTCTCCCCCAAAACAGAAAGAAAAGGGCAAAAAATGCACAAATGCCTTCAAATATGCTTTCACATTGGGTCAACATCCTACCTTAAATTTCATTCCCAACATGTACTTCAAAAAGAATAGAAGAAATACACAAATAAACAAGACATGTAAGTTTTAAAGTATGGTGTCAGTGGTAAGAGAGACAGACAGATACCTTCTGGTCAAGATAAATGTTTTGTAATATTGAAGCCTTTCTCTACTTTTCCAACAGAATGTCCAATTTGTATGCTCAGAGTTCATCAAATTATTTTTTTGGCGCGTGACGACAAGGGAGCGAGCCTACTCAAGGTTAGGTCTATATCCACTGTTCCCTTCCCAGCACCGAGTAATGGCCTTTTCTTTTCTTTTCTTATGACAGGCAACATATCATGCATTCTGTGTCTAATTTCAATAAGGATTGAAGGATACACTTTTTTTCCAGTAAGTGGGTTGAAGGATACTAAGAAGATAAGTTTGTTTGGAGTTTTGTATCTTATCGGTTCTAGGCAATGGTCAGGTACTAGTGTGTTGATGGTGCTAGACCACATGAAAACAGTTAAAAGTTTTTCCAGCTCAGCAGTTGGCATATAACTTCAACTGGTCATAATTTAGTATGTATGCAATCTTTTTAGTGAGGTTAGCATGGTGTGTGGGTGGGAAAAGGAGAAAAGGGAGGTAACTACCCAAAGATGTATCACTCACACCATGCAAGTATTGTCTTCATACCACTATAACACACCTATGAGAATCCAATGCAACTAAAATATTTCAAACTATGAAAGTTTCAAGTTTTAATTTTCTGCTCAATTTGAAGTATTTTATACCCAACATGACAATAAAATTGCAACATCCCCTAGACATGGTATGAAGTTTTACTTACTTGCCGGAAATGAAGAGCGGCAGCAGCAAAGATTGCAATAACTACAGCAACAATCAGAAGAATATACGATGCGCTGAAACGATAAAAGAGTCCAGCAGCAAAACCACAACAGGCAATTATGATAAGGCAAACAACACCTTCCCCCCATTCTGACATCCATCTGGTGGAAACTTGACTTGCAGTCCTATCCTTCAAGCGGAGGGTTACCACACATGCTGAAACAATGGAATATCCAGTCTGAAACAACCATAGTATTTATGTTAGTTGCACACAATTCAACTATAAATATGACTAAGATGTTCAAGAAAGGACTGTTACCACACTTCTGAGGACTTTTTCTTTTTCAAAGAAAAGACTGTTAGACAGAAACATGAATAATATGATTAGCACTTGCATGAGATAAAGTAAATGCAGAAGATTCATCCAACTTTCGCCTTTATCAAACACAAATACATTCATCAAGATCAACTTGTTAAAGACAGAAGCTGGATGCCGACATACCAATGAGCCAACTGAGAGAACATGCGAGAGCACAGTAACATTGAATAGCCCAGCCAAGATGCAATCAACAATACCAACCCAGACCTGTGAATGAACAGGAGTGTGGCGTGTCTGGTGTACCTTAGCAAATATTGAGGGTAGTAAACCATCCCTTCCAAGCCCAAGATACAACCGAGACTGCTCATGAGAAACCTTTCAATTATTTTGCAAGCCATGCTATGTGATGGAAGATGTCAACAATGCGAAGTTCAATGTTATTTACCATAACGTAAAGACCAACCAGAAGGGTTGTAGTAAGTCCAGCAACAGCACCAATGCTGATTAACACAGATACATATTTCAAGCCTTTGGATGAGAAAGCTTCAGCCAAAGAAGCATCTTCCCCAAGAAATTGGTAAGGTACCATTCCAGTAATCACTATGCACACACCAATGTATAAGGCAATACAAACAAGAAGGCTTCCCATTATACCTAATGGTAAGTCCCGCTGGAATATCATGTTGACAACCAAAAAACAAAATATTAAAAACAAGAAAGATCCAAAATAATACAATTAAATTGGATATTAGGCAGCAACTATGGGGACTGCTATAGTGGCACCACAAGGCATCTAATCCATCTACTCATAACATACCTTTGGTGCTTTAGATTCTTCAGCTGAAATAACAACTGCATCAAATCCAACATATGCAAAAACCACCACAGTTGCTCCGGTCAATATTGACTTAAAACCATTTGGGGCAAAAGGTGACCAATTTGAAACATCAACCTCAAAAGCACCAACAATAATGACAAAAATAAGAATGACTACCTGCAAAACAAAAATGGATGCCCCATCAGCCAAAAAGGATATCAATTCTTATTTCTACATTGAATTTCCTTTTTGATGTTAGTAGCAGAATAGGTTGCTTTGGTAACAGCATAATATAGTCCTAATGAATTGGAAACATCTGGGGAGCAAACAGGGAGATTATTCAGACCACACGATCCTATCTTGTATACTATACACGGCATATATTAAGTGGTGTCACTAAAAAGCATTCTAGCTCTGAACAACCTGACTCAATCATTAACATTGAAAAGTGAACACAAAAATATGTTTGATTGGTGCAAATGTAAGATGAACTCAAGATATAGTACACACAAATGTGCATGTATTCTGCACAAATGGTAAACAAAGCTCACAATTCAAACGAAAAAGGTATAGTGAATTAGCTATGATTATACAAAAAGAATGTGGTGCAAAATGTTGAGTAATAAAATTGTCTGGACGAGGATGTTTGGATTGTAAGGTTTTGATAATAATTGTAACAGTTGAGAGCATGTTATGGAACCAAGTACAATCAGCAGAACCCTGGATCATTTCTACTCGTGAACGATTACCCAAAGTTGGACTGTCCTCACATTCTCCCCACCTTAAGTTGTGTCTACCACAGTAAAAATACCCACTCCCGCCAAGTTAAGCTGTTTCCACCACACTAATTTGCCCATAAATATCATGAAAACAACTTTTAATTTATAGTTTCCAGAAAGTTCTTTCAACTATTAGCAATTATTGACACCATTTTCCAGTTTTACAACTCATTGAGTTATCCTAAACTATTCAGCATCTTCCATAATCACAAAATCTTTGGTATCTAGTGGCCATCTGTCATAAATCCCATTCCTGGCATCGTTGCAGGATTCTATTTCATCATCAATCTCCCCAAGCTAATTAGGTAAAATGGGAGTCCTATTTTTCACAGGCTTATCAGTAGTAAAGATTCCCATAATTGTGGTCATTCAAGTCTTATGTATGTCCTACTAGAAAGGGATATTACCTACATTAATCAACATTCACAGATGGCAGAATATGACTTCAAACTGGTGAGAGTGTGTTGGGCATATAAGTTCCTCACCATGCACTTCGTGATTTTCTAGATTAATTTTCCTCTGAATTTTGCTTTAGCAGATAATTGTGTTATTCCTATTTCCAAACATCTCTTAGATATTTTAATTTAAAATGCAACCATACTTGTGTTCATAAAAGCTTTAATCTTCCAGCTTTGGGGATTCAAGATACCAAATTTTTAGCAGTTAATGCTTTTAAGGGGAAAATAAAAGGCTACCATACAAAACAATGGCCTAAGTTTGATTGAATGACAAAAAATAAAAGAGGACGTCAAACTGAGCAATCAAAAATGTAGGATCAAAAGAACACCTTCAATGTAGTCATGACTGAATTTAGTAGAGATGATTCTCCAACACCCCGACATAGAATTATTGTCAGAAGTGCTAATAGAATTGGAGCTAATATGTTGAAAGATATAGCTCCAAAAATTTCTTCACCCCCGTGACCAATCCA